TCTCTCTCTCTCTCTCTCTCTCTTCAGCACTTCTATGACCTATTTGTATTGCATGTGCCATAAAACTGTAACAGTGGGTAGTTGGCGGGTGCTCTGGTGTTGTTTGCTTCTTCTGTCCTATCAAACAACTATCGTCTTTATCTCCCCTCCTTCTTTTTTATGTTTGTTATTCTCTTGTAACACATCTATTCTCCGGCACTTATATGATCTTATTGTGTTGCAAGTGCGTAAAACTCTTACTAAAACTAAACTAAACATCTATCGTTCTTATCTCTCCTCCTCCTTTTTTGTGTTTGATACTCTGTTGTAGCACCTCTAACCTGCTGCACGTATAGACTTACTTGTGTTGCGAGTGCGGGTAAAACTCTTTAACAAAAACTAAAAAAACAAAATAGCTTGTTGCCGTTGGTCACAGTAACGATTTTGTCTCCCCAGACCCATCAATTTTTGGGCATGTGGAGTTATTGCCTTGAAGCTTGTTCCTTTGCTGTGCTTTCGATGAAAGAATTACCTGTTTGTGTGTGGTTGGCGGGTGCTCTGGTGTGGTTTGCTCCTTCTTTCCTATCGATCATCTATATAATCATTTTCTCCCCTTCTTCTTTTTTATGTTTGTTACTCTCTTGTAACACCTCTAATCCTCTGGGGCTCATATGACCTTATGCAGTTGCGAACGCCGTAAAACCTCTACTAAAACCAAACTAATTACCTGTTTATCTTGAGTACATCTGCAGATATTTGCCATTGAATAAGGTGGGGGGTCGCCTGGTTTCAGAGGTAAACTTAGTGATAAAATGGCCGCCAGGGTTTGGTTATTTAGAAAGCCTCGAGAGTCCGTGGAAACTGACAATTTACCATTTTTTGTGCCTTTAATCAACTTTTTAAAATATTATTCATACTGAAATGGGTTCATATTTGTTTGACTTGTGGTTTATTTTATATGTTTGTTGGTTGGATGGGAAATCTAACAACAATAATCAACCAACAGCTGAACAGAAATACAGTTATGGGGAGTCAA